AGTTACCTGCACCATGTACTCAATTGTAGAAAAATGAGGCATCAGCTCAGCAGGTTGATTCACCTCAGATATGCCTGTATAGGCTGGAGGAAACTGAAGAAAAGATACAAACAAAAACATGTATATTACAGCTGAATAAAACAATTTTACTTTCCCTTTATAAAAATTATTGAAAACTACCTATTCTCCAGGAACAGGAATGAGAGTAGCGATACCAGGAGGTTAAGGGGAAGATGGGGAGAGGAGGGGAGGAAGGGGGAACTGATCACAATGATCTACACATAACCACCACCTTCCCCCAGGGGGATGAACAACAGAAACTGTGGGGGAAGGGAGATAGTGGTTAGTATAAGAAATGAAAATAATAATCCATAATTTATCAAGGGGTCATGAGGGTGGAGGGTGGAAGAAGGGGAAAAAGTGGAGCTGATACCAAGGCTCAATAGCAAGTAAGTGTTAAGAAAATAATAATGGCAACATGTACAAATATGCTTGATACAATTGATGTATGGATTGTTGTAAAAGGTGTAAGAGCCCCCAATAATTTTGAAAGCACAAAATGCAAGATTTTTTTAAAATGCAAAACTTTTACTGAAACAAAAATATCATTCGATATGAGAGTAAATAAACTATTGCTGCAAAACCACAGGAACCTTTTATTAAATAAAAATATCAAAAGATAAAGCTATTGTTTTTCAACATATCCTCCACCTAGCTTTAAACATTTCTGAAAGTGGTGTGTCCATCTCTCTAACCTCTCTCAGATCCAAAGAATTCTGCACTCTTCCATTCATACCACACAAAAATGGCAGTTAGGGCCATTTTGAGGGTTGAGATCAAGTTCTTTTGCAGCGTTCTTTCAGTTGTGGGAATAAAAAGAATTCCGAAGGACAAAAACCAGGGCTATAAGTAGTAGAGAGTAAGGTTTCCAAATAAAACTCCTATACGATAGCTTATCCTCAAATAATGAGCAAGTGCATTGTTTTCAAGGGGCGGGGAAGTCCTTGGTACAATTTCTTAGCGTTTTTCTCACCAATGTACTTTTCAAAACACTTTTCTAAAAGCTCCTTAAAAAGCTCTTGTGAAAAAAAAAAAAATTAAACAAAAAAGAGCTCTTGTGTTCCCCCTGGTATCCTAAAACACAAAAGCTATAACTTTCTGAGCTGCATTCTCCAACTTGACTTTAGCTGTTCTATCAGCTCTCAGAAGCCACTGTTTAGATTGGACCTTTTCAAGACTAAGTGAAGGGCACTACTAAAAACTTGTCTGTAGCTCTCCGCTAATCAAAGACATGTCTCAGCATATTTAGTTTGGAAAAAACCTGTGCATCTAAGAACTGAAGCCCTGGTAGCAATGCTATACTCATATATTGTAGAAAAATTGGCAAACACACACACAAAATGAGGAAAAACAAGTAGAACAAAACACCTTAATTTCATTACCTAGAAGGCAGTGACTATCAATATTTCCTTCTAGGATTTTTCTGTTAACTTAAGCACAATTGTGATAATGCTATACTTAAAATTTTTTTTTTAATTTTTAAAAATCATTTTATTATACTTAAAATTTTGCAACTTGCTTTTTTCAGTTAACATAAATAACATACATATTTTACTTTAAAACTCT